ACACACACACACACACACACACACACACACACACACACACCTGAGAGTTGTGTTGATCTGCAGGGCTTTGCTGAGCATCTTGGCCCCGGAGTCCTCCAGGAGGTTGCCGCTCAGGTCCACCTTCCGCAGGCAGGTGTTGGAGCCCAAAGCGTTGACCAGCATCGTGCCCCGCTGGCGAAGCCTCGAGTCAGCCAGGGAGAGGGACTGCAGGGCCTGGAGGAGGAGTGAGCACGGAGGACACAAGATGGAAGATGATGAACTTTAACACGGGTGAAATAAATGTGAGGTTTCCTTTATTTTTTGAAATATCTGGAAATGTCAGTGTTTTAATGATCACGACAAAAAATTGTATAACCTGGTTTTCATCCACGTTCCTGTATTATTGAGTTTTGAAAATCAATAATAAAAAAACCTGGATGAATATCAGACTTTTAAAAGCTTAAACCCTCAGCAGTTGAATAATTGATTGTTTTTGTACATGCCTAGAAAGATCCATTATATAATAATCAACTGCTTCTGTGCACAGAACTCTGTGAGCGGGACACTTTATGCATTAGGACTTTATCTACAAGTGGTGAACGGTGTCTTCTTCCAGTGGAGAGACATTACAACTTTTAAACACACAAATAATACTAATCATGTTCAAATTGGTTGAAAACAACATTTCAAAAAACAAGTTTTTCAGTGAAATTAAAGTCTAATCACGTTTTTTTGAATTTACAAAAGTTTTTAAGATGAGAACCAACATATTCATCAAGTCTCCCATAACCAATCATGTCAAGTTCTTATGGAAACGTTTCAAACTAAAAAATACTTGTATTGGCTTTCTAAGCAGGAGTTAGACGCTATCCCACTCTCATGTCTGTATGCTTAGTATGAAGCTGGACCTAGTGGCTGGTTAGAATAAAGAATTAAAAACAAGCAGGAATTGGCTTCGTACAGCTTAAACAAACTAAATAGAATGTTATCTAATGAGCTTTAGAGATTGGTGGATTGTGTTACCCTCGGACAGAGCCAGGCTCGCTCTTTCCCTCTGCTTCCAGTCTTTTTTCTAAGCTAAGCTAACCATCTCCTGGTTTGTTCCCATTTTCTCACTTTCGATGCTCGTAGCCTCCTCTGACTCATGTACTGAAGTGTTATCATGGAGCCCTGGATCAAATCTGTGCAGGACGCACACACACAGATGCTTCTGATGTCCGTGTTGTCATCACTCACCGGGCGACTTAACTAACAGTACCTTGTTGTACTTCCTTTAAACTTTGACCCACATCTGTGCTTCTGTTAGTGTGCTTGCACACATACATCCCACCGTACTGAGCGTGAGAGAGCATTGTTGTGAGCTATCGCCATCAACAGTGGTAAATAATTGAGTAAGCAACTTGTCATGCTGGATTTGCAGAGCGGAGAGCAGAGGGAGCCCCGGGAGCCTCGCGAATACACCGAGACCAAATGAATCTTGTGCGGGGGCTCCATAGACAACGTGACATCGTGTGCGTGTTCGCACCTTGTGTGTGGCAGGTGGGAAAACTGCACTTAAATGCACATGAATGAGGACACAGGAATTTAAACGGTGACAAGTGTGTGTTCGTTCGTGCGTGCGGCTACAAATCCGCGAGGCGTACGTGTGCGTAGGCGTGCATCTGCGCGGAACACCGCTGAGGATTTGTGAACAATATGTTACATAACAATCCAACTCACACACTCTTCCTCTTGCACCAAATGAACCAGTTTCTGCAGAGTCTCATCCAGCACCCTGAGGAGGCGGAGAGAAGAGGAAAACATTCATCATCAGGATCCACTTCGCAACCATCTGTACCGCTGGTCCCCCGCATGGTCCGTACCTGCCCTTGACGTTGAAGTTCTTCCCCAGCATCAGGTGTTTGAGGGAGGGGTGCCGCGAGAAGGCTGGGATGACAGCCAGCAAGTCAGCATCCAAACCTGCACACAATACAACACACACACACACTTCACTGGAGTACGAGTGCAACGCCAGGAATACGGTGCTCTCCGTAACATCTGTAAAAACCCACTTCCAACGGGTCCGAAGCCGTTATATCCATCTATGCTCTCTTCAAAGCCACAAGACTCCTTTGACAAAAACAGGGATTTTACCTCGCAGACAATTGTTGTTTTAAAGGGTTAGTTTGGATTCACCAGAGAGCATAGATACATATAAGCCCAATTCTAAAAATCCAAACTATCCCTTTAATATTTAACAAAACCAAGATGAGACGATAACTTTCATATCAAACTGAAAAAAATACATGTTTTTACTACACACATTGCTGGGCTGTCACACCAGTGACTCATCATTTACTCCGCCAGGTGCTAACATTTCTGGCTTTCAAAGCTCAGGTTTTTTTTTCATCTCATGGTCTTTTTTAGAACTAAATCGCACTGCCCACTGAAATGCTAAAATACTCCTAATTACCCTCCCACCCACTCACATTCTCAAAAGCTCAAGGATGGAGGATGCTGCTAACGGGAAGTGGTTACCACGGTGAGATATTTCAGCCAGAAAAAGACTTAAAAGCCTCATTCAGAGCAAAAATATCTGTGTTTAAATAAAAAAGCGAGTTCATTCTCGTGTCAATGACAGGAAACTGAGATGACAGAGCAGGGCTGGTTAAGCGTCGAAGGTTGTTGGAAAGTAAAAACTCCAGCAGCACTTGTAGTATAGAAAATAACTATTATAAGACCAACGTGTGTTCTATATACGACATTCGTTGTCGGACCTCTTTTTCATTTTCCATGTACCTTGAGGGGGAGAGTTTGAATAGAAGTTGGATCCCTCTTTAATCTGGTCATTCGTTACTTTCAAACAATCAGATCAAACATGTTGAGGACATCTTTTGCTATGAAACGTTATTTTAAACATTATTCTAATACTCATAAGATTTTGACAGCAAGATTATATGATGGTTGTCTGTAGGGAGCCGTGGGCAGAATGTTGCTGTTCTGTGCGGTAGAGGCAGAGGCAGATATCCGTATTTAGTTTGTGGAATGGGCCAAGCTCCAAAATGCTGGATCCTACAATTCCCAAAATGCAACTCGGTAAGCTTTCTTTTTAGCTTGTGTCGCCAAGCTTTTTAATAGCAGTTTTAAGAGCCCAGGCTTTCTGTTAATGTTAAATTAACTTAAATCCGAGATAACCGCAGACTGCTATCACAGGATGAGCTGACTGAACTTCATGTGGAAAATCTGTGCAGTTCCCCTTTAATTTAAACGGTTGATTCACTAAGTCTGTTCTATAAAGATGCATTTAAAATGAAAAACTGCACAAGCCGGTATCCAGACCACTATAGATCAACAGGTTTTCAAACACTGCAGTGTGTGTGTGTGTGTGTGTGTGTGTGTGTGTGTGTGTGTGTGTGTG